CGCGGTTTTCCGCAAAAAAGCCCCGATCGCCATTTTCGCGATCAGAGCTTTTTTGCGGAAAACACTACTGTGCTGTCTACACTGGCCCTTTTGGGCAAAAGTCTTTCAGAAAAAGACTTTTGCCCAAACGGGAGCAGCATAGTTTTTCCGGAAAAGCACTGATGATAAAATCCAAGCGGCCAGTATAGACAGCTGGCAAGTTTTTCCGCAAAAGCGGCTGATTTTCTGGAAAAACTTGCCAGTGTAGACACAGCCCGTGTCAAAGCAAAGATCCATCTTGCCCAGTATCCTGTCTTTCAACAATGGCGAATGCTGCTCCTGATCTATATGGCATTGTACTCTTCCCGGCCCAGTACATCTGCCATCCATTGTGATTTTTTAAAAACATTTATTTCCTATTTATTGCCCCTTCTTCCAACCTAATGTCCTGTTCTGGCAACAGTGATATACTCCTGTCAGTGATAGCAGAGACCAGGAGCATCATGGATTGGCTTCCCACTGGAGGAGAAATCAGTGATTTGAGGACAGGGTATATTCAAAATCTAACATTTTTTTATTTTCACAGATACTCCAGTCATGGAACAGAGATGATCGTAAACAGCACAAGGGATATTGCTTCTTCCAGGAATCTTGTTTCAATCCCAAACCAAGTTTCTAAGGAGCCACTCTGCCAGAAGACTGAGCTAGCTGTGTTAGTCTGTTTCAGCAAAAACACGGAGTCCTGTGGCATCTTTTATTACAGCATAAGCTTTCGTGAGTTGCAACTCACCTCATCTGATGAAGTCACAACTCACGAAAGCTTATGCCACAATGAAATTGTTAGTCTTCAAGGTGCCACTGGACTCCTGGTTGTTTCTGCCAGAAGAACTGATCAGGGAGCCAGGCAGAGTTATTCATCTTGATCCTGGTGGTTGACTAAGAAATCCATGTGGCCATTGATTCTGTAGAGGTGGAGTTACAAAAATAGTGTCCTTGCACCACCAGATAGTGGTGATTATGCACAGACTTCAGACTCTTGATTAGCAGGCTCATTCTTTGCAGACATCTTGTAATGGTGTAGGCTCTTTGAGGATCTAGTGCAAATAGCGAGAGAGTTTGCGCTCTCCCTTAATTTCTCTCACTAGACTCAATTCTGAATGCAGTGTTGGTTCCTGGGAACCATGCCCTGGTGTTTGGGCTCAGCCTCCGTAAGCAGGGGTTTACCTGCATGTTGTTTGACCACCTCTGTTCCAGGACTGGTGTATAGGGGGTAGGTAAAATAAGTTACACCAAGAAAATATCCAGATGCTGCATCCCTGATTCTCCTCCAGCAGGAAACTGACCTGTAAGCCCCTTGCGTCTGCTACCTCTCAGTAGAAGGTAACAAGTGACACCAAAATGAATTAACGACACTTAGGTGGCTTCTGTGATCCAGTAAGTCTGATATTTACTTGTGCTCCATGAACTACTTTGGCAAAAAAAAATCTTTTGGTAGAAAATGCAGAGTTAGCAAGCGATGGGATGTATTGACCTGCCAAGAAGGGCTGAGAGGAGACTGAGAGCATAAGAACATCAGAACGGCCGTACTGAGTCAGACCACAGGTCCTTCTAGCCCAGTATCCTGTCTGCCGACAGTGGCCAGCACCAGGTGCCCCAGAGAGGGTGGACCGAAGACAATGATCAAGCGATTTGTCTCCTGCCATCTCTCTCCAGCCTCTGACAAACAGAGGCCAGGGACACCATTTTATCCCCTGGCTAATTGCCTTTTATGGACCTAACCTCCATGAAATTATCTAGCTTCTCTTTAAACTCTATTATAGTCCTAGCCTTCACAGCCTCCTCTGGCAAGGAGTTCCACAGGTTGACTACACGCTGTGTGAAGAACTTTCTTTTATTAGTTTTAAACCTGCTACCCATTAATTTCATTTGGTGTCCTCTAGTTCTTCTATTTAGGGAACTAATAAATAACTTTTCTTTATCAGCCCTCTCCACACCACTCATGATTTTATAGACCTCTATCATATCCCCCCTCAGTCTCCTCTTTTCTAAACTGAAAAGTCCCAGTTGTTTTAACCTCTCCTCATATGGGAGCCGTTCCAAACCCCTAATCATTTTAGTTGCCCTTTTCTGAACCCTTTCCAAGGCCAAAATATCTTTTCTGAGGTGAGGAGACCACATCTGTACACAGTATTCAAGATATGGGTGTACCATAGTTTTATACAGGGGCAGTAAGATATTCTGGGTCTTATTTTCTATCCCTTTCCTAATAATTCCTAGCATCCTATTTGCCTTTTTGACTGCCGCTGCACACTGCGTGGAAGTTTTCAGAGAACTGTCCACGATAACTCCAAGATCTCTTTCCTGATTTGTTGTAGCCAAATTTGCCCCCATCATACTGTACGTATAGTTGGGGTTATTTTTCCCGATGTGCATTACTTTACACTTATCCACATTAAATTTCATTTGAGAGCGCCTCACCTGGTTACACCTGAAGGGTGTGCCAGGCTCAAGGAGGAGCTGAAAGGAAGGAGTTCGGAGAAGTTGGGAGGAGGAGATCCAGGAGGTGGCTTTGTTTGTACTTCGCCCGGTGCTGGGGTTCGCCTGAGGGCTGGGGAGGAAGCTGCTGCTTTGAAGGAAGAGTGAGATGGAAGAGGCGCCCAGGAGGAGTGGGAGATGTGGGGCTTGCCCAGAAGAGGTGGAACTCTCCCCTGTCCTGGATGGAAGGCCACATCCTCCCCAGAGCTCTGAGGTCAGGAGCGAGAGAGCCACGTGGAGTCACTGAAATGCCAGATCCTGTCACTAGGGGGTGCTCTAGGACAGTGAATTTAAGGCCGGGTGATACTGACACTGATGCATCAAGTGCCCATCTGAGCTTCAAAGACCTTTCTCATGGGGAAAAGCTTTGCAGGTTTAGTGCCTTGTCCATAGTGTTCATGCCAGGTGTCCTGGGAGCTGCATGAGCCTTCCCCCCGCAGACCTATCCTCACAGCCAGCCCAGGAGCACTTGGTAACCCTGCAAGGAGCTGAACAGACTGACCAAAATTAAACTCCCCCCTCCCAATCCTCAGAAAACTCCAGGTACTCACTGACCTTACTGGAGCTAATCAATCTTACTCCCACTAATTGGAGAGGTGGTTTTTTTTGTAGCCACAGCTCAGGGGAGTCTCAGATTTAGCTTGAGAAATGAGAGTTTCTGCATGGCCTTTTCTTTTTCCTCTCCAGCGAA